AATAAATTTTGTTTCCGCTCATCGCGTCATTCAGTGAGCGTAAACCCTGACTGTGCCTCAATTCCATGGAGTTAGATGTAGGTATTTTTCATACTACATGGCCTCCAAACACAAGTCAACATCTGGTGCTCAACCGAAGAAACAGCTCTCTCTTTTACCGCTGCAGGAAAAACCGACTGTGTTGGGCTTACTGAGAGGCGGTATTTCGGTCTGAAATGTTGCGCACAAATATGGCCACAACATTGTAGCGTGTAAATCCGTTACTGGGTAACGACCTTGAAATAACGTTCGCTGCTAAGCAACAGATTCTGTATAAGCAAGTATAAGCAGCTGTTACTGAGTAAAGCCTTCGCAAATAAAAACGTTCCCACGGAAATGAATAAGTACAACAGTGAACTGTGTTTCTCTACGCTGTCCCTGACAATATGTTATAACCGAGAAAAGTTTCAAAGTTATCAGTATGTACATTGTAAAAGACAGATCCGTCATCTCGTCAGAGAGGGTGCCCCACATCAAGTACTAGCAACTGTCTGACAAAAAATAATGTGTACTTGAGAGTAAGACAGACTGACCGACTTACGGTCTGTCGTAACGTAACTTTGACTTTGAGTTGTAAGGGAGTCCCTGAAGAGACTGAGTCCGCTTGGTACGGCGGCCACTTCTGGCCATTGTACCAGTCCCAGATGATAGATGATGGTGATTGTGGAGCAATCGGTGGAATGAAGATTGGCAGGGGAAACCGAAGTACTGGGAGAAATCCTGCCCCAGCGCCACTTTGTCCACTACAAATCCCACAAGACTAGATTCGGGCCGCCGCGGTGGGAAGCTAGCGACTAATCGCTTGATCTATAGTTCGGCCAAGAGAAGGCTTGGTCGGTGCAGTTGAATCCCCACTGTTAAAGCCGTTACCAGGTAATGGCATAGCAGACTGAAAAGACTTAGAGTGTGCTGTAATGATTTATGAAGTGTGTAAATTAGCGATGGCCCTATAATTAAGTGTAGTCACGAGTCCTATGTGAAGGTGGTCAATAAATCCAAGCTCCAATCCTAAACCCCGTCGATATCCACTCCTTCACGTGACAGTGTTATATACGCACATATTAAGGGTATGTACAAAAAGACACGTACTTTACGAGTATGTGCGATGTAAGGGATTTGCAATTGTAATTCTGACTATACGCTTTTTTGGGTCTGTGTGCCGTCTTTAGAACGTAACCGCCGCCTAAAATGAAATTGGCCGCGCCATAGCTCAAGCGGTTAGTCGCTGACTTCCCACCGAGTCCATATTTGGAATGTAGCTGTGTTAAATTTAAGACGTTATGAAATAAACAACGGGTTCGTAATATTTTAATGCTGTTTAGACCCAAAAATGCCAAATATCGAAAACGTCGATCTTAAAAAAAAGTATATCTGACAGCACGTGACATCTGTTGGCATTTCAATCGAACTACATGGTAAAGAAATATTTGGAGTGAATCTTACCGTGTATTTGAACTTTTTAATGAGTCATTATGCGTATATTATTTACTCGTGAAAGCATAGTGGGTTTGGGAAGTGGCGCTTCTCGGATTGAGAAGGAAGTTTGTTTCTGCAATCAAACCCATGTCCAGTACTCAGAGTACCGTATTTACGCATGTATAGGCCGCGTGCGTGTATAGGCCGCAGCACAATTTTCAGACAGAAATTATAGAAAAAATAATTTTCTTGGAATATTATTTCAGGAGTAGAACACCCTGTATTACTAATTATGAATATAATTTTTTTTAAATGAAGTGTGATTTCGAATATTTCGAATATAAGCCGCACCCCAGTCTTCCTCTTGAATTTTTGGCAAAAAATGTGCGGCCTATACATGCGTAAATACAGTAAATTTAAAATTAGTACAGTATTCTTTATGGTTTTCTGCAATGCTGACCGTTGCTCACACTACACTGCTTCGAATAATATAATGATAAATGAATTCTGAATTGTAAAGGATGTCCAAAGAAGCGGTCGTGTCCTGTTTCAAGATATTTACTAATTCGTATCAAAACATGCGGTATCCGTTGGATAAGAGGCTGGTTGGGCCCAGAATCTGTCTAGATGCTATGGAAGAGAGCAAAATCTCCCATACGGGGAGTCTACCCTCGATTCTGCTGTTGTCCAACCCGTAGCCTGCTTATGTAACGACAGAGCTATCTGTTATTAAATAATTCCGTTCCTACGTCACAGGAAGCACCATGCTTCCCGCAGTGGTATGTAGGAAATAATCGATGTTTATATTTTTAGTGTTAAAGCGTGTGGTATATATAGTAACCACTGTGATTTACGGGTTAAGCCCCACGTTGTGGTATAAGGGACTGCGGTTTTCTATAAGCAAGGTCATGATGGCTATCTAGGAACTGTTTAAGCAATGCGTCACTTGAGAGCCATTCAGCTGCTGCTGCGCACGGCGTTCATGGTTAATGGATTAACCAGTCAAGTCTGACTTCATCCATTAGGCCGTGATCTTCATAAGCAAGGATAAGGAAACCGCTGTCCGGCATACATATATCAGGAACACGAGCAGTGAATTGAATAACAAGATTGACGGCTCAATATGCTGTCAGGAAGTCAAAATACAGACATGAGAATTTAAATTTAACAGCAACGCCGTACTGAATAGTCCTATTAAGGTAAAGTTATCACTGTGCTTAACTAACTGAGCACTACGCCATGAAGGCGTTAAGGGGAACGGATGAACAGATTCTAATTTTCTTGACCTCGATGCTAGTAGGAGGTGAGTGGTCAGCTTCACGCCTCGGCCGCTTTACCTCAGGTACCCATTGGATAAGAGGCTGGGTGGGCCCCAGAACCGGTCTGGAAGACGTGAAGAAGAGATAAATCTTCACTCTACCGGGGCTCGAACTCCGACCTCTTGATCGTGTAGGCTGTAGCCAGTCGCTATACTGACTGAGCTATCCCGGCTTCTGAATTGCCACGTATAAGCCACCATTTGTCTCCCCATGTTATAGCTCTGTAAGCGATTCTTGTAACGAAAGATATGCAGTTGGCGATTTTCACAAACCACACCGTAAGGGCTGTGTTTGTAAACATCTTACGTCTCTTTTTAAGTTCATAGTGCGAAAAAGAGAGGGAGGGAAGAGAAGCGCGTATAACGAGAGTCACGTGTCATAAAGAGGATATAATCAGCGAATCAACTGGAACTCAATCATTGGGACGGAGTCCTTCATCAGAAGTAAGCAGTCCCTCGGCTACTCAAGAAATACCATAACTTTTATTGAACTCGAAGGAGCAGTTCCGTGTTTACCGTGGCCTAACACTGGCCACCAACTGTCCTGAGCCAAATGAATCCGCCTTATTTCTCTAAGATTCTATTATTATTATTGTACGAGTATGTGCTGCTAACTAACTACATAGAGCTGAGCCCTTCTTGAGAAGCCGCCAATTGTGCAGCTACTCAAGAACTTCCCAGCATTTTATGGAACCCGAAGGTTCACATCCCTCCGCTGGTGGATCCCTTCAGGTCCGAAGCCCTTTGTGACATTTCGTAACAAGCTTATTTTTACGGCGAGGAGTTGTAAGCCCCACGCCCAATCAACTGGATGACCACCACTGCCACCGAGTAAAAACCAATTTGCAGTCAAATAATAATATATTCACGACTGCCTTCCATATCTGGAGGCCGTCTTCTCCATCCACAACCTGTGGACGCACCATGCCATGGCGACAGGGTACACCTAACATGGGTATGTGCGCCTACATCTTGTGAAAGTTCCCCTCCTTTTAAAATGTACCGATCAAAATTTGTAATTGGCTTGAGGATCCCCGTGTACGTATCCAAATACTGCATCGTGGATTTGTGCTCAGTATCTTTGGACAGCTTATCTATGCCTTGACCAGCTCACCTGCGTCGAATTTTTCATTACATTAATACTAAGTCCCTACTTAAGCAATTGTGTCCGTCTTTCCTCAGAATTCATGTACCTTACTGAGCACTTTGCGCTGAAACATTCTCAGCCCGAAAGCAACAGTTCCCCGAGACGTGACGCGTCATTTTCTTCCGATGACATTCGCCTTCTTCTTCAAAGGAGTGGAAGAACACGTTCACGAATCATACAAAACCAACTGACGACCCTGATTCTCCTTGTAATTCAGGACCATCTCTCACACACATGCTGCATATCATAATGTATGTGAGTAGTGGCTCGTATGTAGGAAAAATAAACACGTTTAGCGACTAACTTCGTTACAGTCCTGTGTTGGAGAAAACCCTGATTGTTGACTATTTTTTATTGCTAGTGGGGTGGGACTAAGTCCCGTGTACTGCGACCACTTCTGGCCTGTTGTACCAGCCCCAGATGATAGGTGAGGGTGATTGTGGAGCAATTGGGGGAATGAAGATTGGCAGGGGAAACCGAAGTACTCGGAGAACACCTGCCCCAGCGCCATTTTGTCCATCACAAATCCCACTTCACCAGACCCGGGATCGAACCCGCTTCGCCGCGGTGGGAAGCCAGCTACTAATCGCTTGAGCTATGGCGCGACTATGATTGACTATAGTCTATGCTGAAAAGACTCCTGTTTGTTGACTGTAGTCCTGTGCTGAGAAGAGAACTGTTTGTTTATTTAAGTCCTGTGCTGAGAACACTCCTCCTCGACTACGGTCCTGTGCTGAGAAATGTCCTGTTTGCTGATTATAATCCTGTGCTGAAAAGACTTCTGTTTGTTTACTGTCCTGTGCTGATAAGTATCCTGTTTTTTTTTACGTCCTGTGCTGAAAAGTGTCCTGTTTTTGCCAGTCTCGTACTGAAAAATATCCTGTTTCATTAACGATATCCCCCCGCCCCCTGCTTCCGGGAATGAATGTTTCTTGACGAAATTCCTTTTGCTGACAACAGTCCGGTTAGTTGAAGAGAGCCTTGCCTGCCCTCTTCGTTTCTGATCATGATTTCTCGCGTTGGGTTTTAGTGGGGTCAGGACTCCTGTTTGCTGATACAAATCCTGTTTTTTTTTTACAGACGAGCGAGTTAGACGCCTACCTGTGCAAACAGGAGCTGGAGCGACTCCAGCGCCTTGAGGAGGCAGCGGCAGCTGCAGAAGCTGCTGAGCTAGAGATCAAACCGCGGCGCGAGTCGGCGTCGCAAATAGACGAGTTTTTCGAGACGCCGGGCCTGCCGCACCATCCCCCGCGGCACCACCACCATCATCACCACCACCACCACGCCAACAGCATGAGCTATGTGTCCATGCGAACAGTGCCAGGAACCCAGGCAGAGGACGACGTCTTTCTCAAGCCAGCGCTCTGGGAGGACATCACGTCCAGCATCCAGAAACTGGACCCGGAGAACGCCGAGATGCTGGCATCAGTGAAACAGGAGATGCCCGATGAGGTGGCATCGTGCGGCTCACCCTCCAGCCTACCCCTCATGAACCCTCCCGTCGTCAAGACCGAGAAGTTACCACCGCCACCCTCGTTACAGCACATGCACCTCACGCCCCCTTTCAACAGCAGCGCCAACCCCCAGCAACAGTTCCCCCCACAGCACAGCTACAGCAATGGCAACTTGCCCCACCCTGCCTTCCCCATGTCAAGGCTCGTGTACCTGCCTCCCCCCACCCCTCCGATCTCTGAACCCGGGTCTCCGGGCAACAACCTTCCCAGGAGAACGCCGCCACCACCATACCCCACCCCTAACCATCACGGCCCAGCCCCGCCTCCTGCGCCGACGTCAGCATCTCCGACAGTGACGACAGCGCCGGTTGTCCCCAAGTACAACAGAAGGAACAACCCAGAGCTGGAGAAGCGGCGGATTCACCACTGTGACTTCCTGGGTGAGTTGTGCTTGCGCTGCACTCAGCACCGCACCATGAAGGTGTAGCTCTCGGCACTAGCTTCACGCCACGGCCACCCTCTGTATATGAGGTTGGACGCAAAATGTCCTCCTCCTCTGCCGCTCTCGTCCAGACCGTAGCGTAGTCACTGTACTGACAGCTGTGGTATTGAAATTGCTTGCTGTTACTGCTACCGTAACTATTGCTGCTACTACTACTACTATGAGGCAGAGTCAGTAAATAGGTCACAAAAGGAAGTAAAACGGCTGTAATGGACTTAAATAGGTTTTCTGTACCACTAGGTAGCAGCACAGTCCAGCTTCATGACAGTTTAGGTAGCAGATACGCATGCGCATGTTCAGAGTGTGGTTTTAGTAGTCAAAATGACGAGAATGCTTGAGTGTACCGCCGGGGAGCAGCGTTCTGTTCGTGCATTTTCTTATGGGCAAAAGACTCAGTGAAAAGGATATTCATGAAGAAATGTTTCCTATTTACGTCTTTACGGTGGGAAGTGTTTATCGCGTAAAGCGGTTCACAACTGGTGGCAAGCGTTTCGCTGATGAAGAGGTTGGAACGGAGATGCAGAAGTGGCTGAGACAACAGTCAGAAGACTTATGCGCTGAGGGTTTCGACACACTGTTAAAGCGATAGGGCAAGTGTATCAATGTTGTTTGGTGGATAAGTCGAGAAATAATTGTTTTTTTCAGGTTCGAGTATCACATGTTTTATGTTTTATTCCCATTTGTGACCCGTTTACTGACTCGCCTTATTACTGTTCATGAACTATACAGCATCATGTTGCGTAGATCCGGCCCTATGGATCCATAGTCTGTCCGCTCGGTTGGTAACATAGTTTTTCATTTGTGGAAGGTGGCCTCTTTCCATTCCTTTGAGACGATTACTCCGATTCTGTTGGCATCCTTGCATCTGTTCAGCTGTGCTTGTAACTTCCGGTCTTTCTCTGATATCAGAACTTCTAGACGTACGATTTCAATTTTCCGATTCCAACACACGGACTTTCTGACTAGCTAAACTAACGTCATGGAGCTGGGCCCTTCCTGAGAACCCGCCAGTTGTGTACCTACTCAAGAACTTTCCAGCATTTTATGAAACTCCAAGGTTCATTGCCGTGTATCCAGTCCATACCACCCTATCCTATGTCTGTAAGATCCATTTTAATATTGTCGCATGCCCGGAATCCGAAAAGGATACTTCCGTGGAGATCAGTCAGTAGTGGTCAGTCGTCAGTTTGGCTTCAACTATAGCAGAAGCAGTAATTGTGATACTGAAATTGTGAGTAAGTGTACGTGTAAGTGTAAAAATAAGCGTCCAATAAACGAATTCGTTCCAATCCGAAGACCCACGTAATTTACTCGTGTCGCGTCACACAGCCGACACGTTACAATATTATCCACACACTTACGTCTTGGTTTTTCTGGTGGTTCTTCTGGCTTTCCGACCAGTATCTTACATGCATTCCTCTTCCCAATTCTTCCTACATTCCCTGCCCATCTCATCCTCCTTGACCTCATCATTCTAATAATACTTGGAGAAGAGTACAAGTTATGAAGCTCCTCATTAATGAAGTTTCCTCCAGCCTCGTATCACTTCATCTCTCTTCGGTCCAGATATTCTCCTCAACACCCTGTTTTGAGACACCCTTAGTCTATGTTCCTCCCTTAATGCCAGAGACATTTTGACAGCAGACGAGAAGACGAGAGTCTGGACTGAATGGTAGGAAGCTATTGCCCGAGTTTCATCTCCTCTAAATTTCCTCCTGAATCAAATTTGTAATACAAGGGTTGGATAAAAACACGGCTGTAACGTGAAAGATGTGCGTCAGGTGGCACTAGCGCCGTCTGTAGCTGATAGCAGAAGTTCAGTTGAAGTAGTGCAGTGAGTGGCTCTGGTTGTGTTTCATTGAGTTGCATTGTGCATCGTCTTGAAGTGCAGGAGCCCAGTTCAAGCACCATAACAACATGTTTACGAAACAAGAACAACGCTCCTGGATAAAAATTGAAGTTGCACGAGAGTCATAGTTCACAAAACTGTTGTGGTGATGCTGCTTTGCCATATCGCACAGTGGCACGATGGGTGAAATTGTTCCGTGAAGGGAGGGATGCCATTCAGGACAGCCGTCGTTCAGGACGACCCCATTTTGACAACCACACAATTCAGCTTCTTGCTTCTTTGTTGAATGCCGATCGTCGATGGGCTGCGCGGGAGTTAGCTGCTGAGGTAGGCGTATGTCACAAAACCGTGCTCCACATTCTGCACGATATTCTTGGATACCGCAAAATTGCAGCGCGTTGGGTACCCCATACAATGTCCGAGGTGCTACAATGGCAACGTTATGCAATTGCACAGGACTTGTACCGGTACCAGGGGGAAGGTGACGACTTCCTTGGAAGGATCGTCACTCTAGACGAAACTTGGTCTCGCTCATACGAACCGCACTTGAAGCAACAATCAAATGAATGGAAGCATCCTGGCTCTCGTCGTCCAAAGAAGGTGCGTCCTACACAGAGTAATGTGAAGGCGATGTTCATTGTGGCATATGACACTGATGGAGTGATACTGCAACACACTGTACCTCAACGACAGACAGTAAACGTTGCCTACTACTGCAATTTCCTGCGTAATCATCTTCGTACAGCACTCAGGAGAAAGCGACGACACTTGTTGGCAACGTACCCCATCATCCTTCATGACAATGCAAGGGCTCATACTGCTGACTCTGTCAAGGATCTCCTTCGCCACTGGCGATGGGAGATACTGCAACATCCGCCATACTCACCCGATATGAGTCCGTGCGATTATGATATCTTCGCCAAAATGAAAGAACCACTGCGAGGGACCCGTTACAACACAAGAGAGGAGATTATTCGTGCTGTAGGGCGGTCACTGCTGGACATCAACAGAAGTGGACGCACTGATGGTGTACGACGTCTTTCACAAATTTGGCAGAAGGTGGGTCACATGGGGGGGGGCGATTATATTGAAGGAATATGTGATTACCTCAGGTAATAAAGTCATTTCAGAACTGTAGAAGCGTTGCCACTACTTTTTATTCAACCTATGTATATTCATTTTGCGTACCAACTTCTTGCACCAAACCTCCTACATTCACTCTATGCATAAGTAAGAATTTGTACTCCTTGGATAGCCTTAAACGTTGCTTTCATTCTATGGAAATCGCAATATTCACACCTGGGATAACCGTAAACACTGGCAGATTCCGATGGACTTGTTGATGTAGAAAACTCGTTTGCAAATTTATGTTTCTGTCGGCTTGATAAGTCCGATTTTCCTCGAAACTGTAACTTTGTCCTGGAACAGTCTATTCCCTTTGTAATATTCTGAAGGATAAAATTATCTTGTCATGCTCTCATGGACGCAATTAGTCTTCGTGCTCAAACTGAATACATTAGGAACTTTTCTGTTTTTACGGTAAGCAACGCTGTAAGATCTAGTCCTTCAGCCAGGCGTATCAACGCTGCTGATAGCATAAGCCACTTTTCAGCTTTTTAAATAAAGACAGTTCTCCTATAAAATACTTTTCCTTTACATAATCCTGAATTTTGAAAAGTTTTATCTTCTGGGATATTTACAGCTCTATAGCCCTTTGGACCTTGGCCGCTTTTTCAGTTTCTTAATCCTATACATAGCAGGAAGGACTGCTTGGACGGAGGATCAGGCCTTCGCAAGACCCCTGCCTTCACATAGAATAACACAAACACAGAATAAACGCACACAGACATTCATGCCTTGAGTGGGATTCGAACCCACGATCCCAGTTTTAGAGCGAGTGAAGACGGTTCATGCTTTAGACCTCGCGGCCACTTGATGAGCCCTTCTGGGATATAATATAGTGTAATGCAGTTAAATTCAACTGTCTTTTCAGGAGGAATACATCGCCTCCAGCTTCAGGGTCGAAGAGTAAGTCAAGAAAGAAATTAGCATGAAACAGGTAGCAAGCAGAGCTTCTGAAGTTTGGAGCGATTTATTGCTCCGAAACGTTGATTGACTTTCGCCGAATTACAAGGCATTATATTCCAGGAAATGTAACCGTCCATAGTCACAGCTCTAAGAACCTCAATTCCAATGATCTGCAATTGTCTGTGTGTTTTTTCCTGTAGCTTACGCACGTATCTGTTTTAGGTCCAACTTTAGAACTGTGATTTTGTTGTGGTTATGATTATGTCTGTTATAGGCTGTAGCTGCTTAAGAGTTATGATGAGGATGTATAACACTGAGAATTATTGGATTTTCGGACTTTGTCCCCCAAAAAAATAGGAAACAACGAACGTTTCGGAAACTGGATCTGTTTCCGTCCTCAGGTGAGGGGTGGGAGACACCTGCTCTGTTGGGCACCTTAGAAAGAGCTAGCCTCAAGCACTGGACAGTCAATGCTAGATTCACTACAGACCAACAAATAAACTCCATGGTTTTAGTCCGCAAGCGAACTATACCGACAGAGCGACCGCTGATTGTCGGCGAAGTTAGTGCCAACTTTAGCGGATAGAGGGTGTCATGTGGTCAGCGCAACAAATCCCCACGGCCGTTAATTTCGATTTTCTAGATCGGAGCCGCCACATCCGTGAAATAGCTCCTTAATTATCCTCACGAGGCTGAGTGGACCACGTTCCAGGCTCACTACATCTCAGAAAATCTGTTAGCGCCAGGAATCGAACCCGGACACCTGGTTCTGTAGCCAGGAACTCTGACCACCAGACCACAGAGGTTGTCAATAGGATAGAAATGGCGGTAGAAGTTTATGCTACAAACCAAGTCTGTGAGCACCAAGCATAAAGTTAAATGGAGAATTTGTGAAAACATGGTGCCTACCGCGAAACGTCTTTGGGCCGAATTGTTCTGTTTGTAGCGGGGAAATTGCTGAACAGTAGAGTTAAAAATTACAGAAGCAAAGTTAAGTCACGTGTTTGTATTCTTTGGGGGGGGGGGAGAGCATCCATTTGTTGGAATGCGTCCTGGTGTTA